CTGGCCATGCACGTGGGCTCTTTCAGCAGCTCCTGCGCGTTCACGAAACCAGTATCTTCGGGCACGCAATTTGAAAAGACAGCGATGAGACACGAGGGCACAGTCCATGCATTGTGACCGCCACCTCCCAGCCACCGTTTCCTAGATGGCTGAGTGCAAAGAGAAGGGAGGGTGGTGGCCCCATTCTAATTCCCGCCGGACAGAGGCTCGGCGCAAGCTGCCCTACTTCCTTCCCGGGCTCTCCCGCCGTGAAAAGCGCCGGGTATTTTTAGAAGCGATTACCCTCTGGGCACGCTTGCATTCCCTTCAGTGAAGGGCCATCGCCTTTGGATCTCAGGCGTCTGGTGCTCACGCGCACGGCGGTTTCCCAGTTCTGTGGGGGAACCCGGGACGGTAGCGTGAGCACGTATCGTCCGTGAGCGCCTGGTGTGCCCCGGTTGGCAGGGGTGTCTGGGATGTCTCGGGGAGAACACACTGAGACACTCTGGGAGGTGGGGTTCTTTCATTTCTTCAAAGGATTTAAGTCCGTTCGAAGTACTGAGAACAGAGCCACGCAGACAGTAAGCATAAGGACATTATTGGTCTTTGATAACTTCAGTGAACCCGGTGTTCCTGCTCCTGTTGGAGCTCAGAGCCGTTTTCAGAGCTCGCTGAACCCAATGCGTGCTAACAGCCTGGAAAACATCGCTGGGAAGAACGTGCTTTGGCAGATGCTCCCTGACTGACCTGAAACCTCTAGTTGCTCCGTGGCAGGTGCCTTCGGCTCCGGGTTGTCCCGGCAGCCACTCTGCAGAGGCACCAGCTGGAAAGGCCCCCACCCAAAGGTGTCTCCTGCCTGCCCTTCAAAGTGGGTTAGGGTCTCAGGGTCAGGAATGCTGGCGTGACTTAGGTGGGTGGTCCTGCTGGGGGGGTCTCTTGCGGTTGCAGACAAGATGTCAGCCGGAGCTGCTCTCATCGGGGGGCGTCCCTGGGGCTGCACCATCCCCAAGGCGGCTGCCTGCTGTGGCTGGCAGGCGGTGCCCGCCGTGGGCAGGAGGCCTCGGCGCTGATCCATGCTGGCCTCTCCGTGCAACTAAGGGACTTGGATTACACGAATTTAACTCTATTTTAGCAAGGGGTAGCATCGGTACTTACATAGCTAAGCGTGTGACTTAGGATTGATAAAAGTACATGGTGTTCCTTTTGACTTGGTGATTCGTAACGGCTTCTTGCTTTCTTTCGTACTCTTGGCCAGCCAAGAAGGAAGGAAGCCTTATGACAGTCTACGAACGTGTCCCTTAGACAGTTCTTCCTGGGTCCAAGATCTGTGGGAAGGTGTCGTTCCACCCTGTGATATTTCACAGTAAAAATGAGATGGAAGCCATGAAGAGATGACCTTAGCGATTCTCAAGTCTCTTTGAACAAAGTGAACTTGGTCAGCGTTGGCATGATTTCTTTACATTTGGGGGCCAATGCAACGTGTTGTAGGCTGGTGAGTGGCATTGCCAGTCACTAGCGACTCAAGGACAGTAGTATCGCCCGCTCCAGTGCGACCACCGAAAACGCCTGCCGGCGTTGCGTCCCGGCCCCCGGGGTGGAGGACGCCGTGTTCCCGGTGCAGAACCCCTGTGTTTAAATATGGACGCTCTGTGATAATCCAGTGCTTTCATTAGGGATTACATGTGTGGGTCCCTATCAGATTTCAGGGTCAGAAGCTACCTGGGCAACCGTTGTCCGCTCCGGGGGATCTGATGACTCTAACCAGCAACTCCAGACTCAAAACGCTGGTGCTGAAACCACCAGAGGGTTGGGAGGCTGGGGTTGAATGACAGCCAGGGCTGAAGGCAAAAAAAAAAAAAAGTCCAGTGCATCCGGTTGCCTGAGGCACTGCCTTTTGACAAGCTGCTGCGTGGCCCCGTGAGCTGTCTGCTTCCCGTAGAGAAACAGTGCACGTTCTCCATCTCCAGCGTTGTGTCGCTGGTCAGCAGGGGCTCTTAGGCGGGCAGCGCGTCCCTGCCACCTCCCCCACCGGCGCCTTGGTGGGCTGCGAGCTAGACCGTGACCCGTGTCCCCAGCTCCCTGTCCGCCCAGGTCGCAGCTTGTTCCAGCTGGGCCTCCCTCCTCCTGTCCTGCTTGCATCTTTTAGTCCCCAACCGGAGGACAAAGGCCAACAAAGGAGTTGCTCCCGGAGGTGTCCCCGCCAGGGATGGAACTTGGGCTTCCTCACATCCTGGCGCCAGAGCTCCTCACTCGGCGACTCCCTGCCGCCTGAAGCCTTTAGCCCAGTGGGCGGTAAACAAGGTGTGACCTCTTCATGCAGCGGAATGTTACCCAGCCGCAAACGGGAACAGAGTGCTGGTCCGCGCTGCCACGTGGGTGACCCCTCAAAACACCGCGCGTGGTGGAAGAAGTCCCGTGTTGCGTGACTCCATTCATGTGCAGTGTCCAGAACTGGCAAACCCGTGGAACCAGCACGCAGACCGGCAGTGGCCAGCGCGGGGGGTAGGGACTGTCTGCCACCGGGGCAGGTTTCCTTTGGAGTGGCGTGCCTGCTTTGCAACTAGGCAGAGGGCGAGCCGGCCCAGCACTGTTAATGAATTAGGGGTGTCCAGCCCGCGGCCCACGGGCCGTATACGGCCCAGGATGGCTATGAATGGGGCCCAACACAAAATCGTAATTTTACATAAAACCTTTTTTTTTTACTTGTCGGTTTTTGTTAGTGTTTGTATAGTTAACGTGTGGCCCGAGACAACTCTTCTTCGAGGGTGGCCCAGGGACACCAAGAACGTGGACACTTTTGTAAGGACGGCCTGTATATGTCTATACCACGCTGTGCCAAGAGCTGACAGCAGCCAGAAAATCAGGCCTTTTCACATTTAATCTTTTAGGGATACAGAATGCATTGCATTCATTAAAGTTATTTGCGCATCACACAAAGAGTTTGCAGTACGTAAACTTTTTGCCAGCACTGTTTATGGGTAGAGGTTAGGGTAGTAATACCAGAAAAATCAGTAATGACCGGAAGGTCGGTTTTCTATTTAATTTATTCGTTTTTAGTTTTTAACCCTCATCTGAGGATTTTTTTTTAAAAAACTGATTCTAGAGAGAGACGAAGGAGGGAAGAGAGAGAGAGGGAGACAGAGACAGAAAGGGAGACAGAGAAAGAAACATCGATCAGTTTGCCTCCCATATGCACCCCAGCTAGGGACTGACCCGCAACCTAGGCACGCGCCCTGACTGGGAATCAAACTCGCAACCTTTTGGTACACAGGACGACGCTCCAACCAACTGAGCCAGCCAGCCGGGGCTCTCATTTTCATTTATTGTTTCTAGCAACAAACTAATTAATTTTGATGTGTTGCATAACCAGAAGAATGTTATTAACCAAAGTCACATTTCTCATTTTTTTGGCATTGATAACACATAGATGATGTTAATTACCCTTAATGAGTTTGACAACATATATAAGAGATAATCTTCCATTCCAAGACTCTAATTTGTGGGTTGCCATCTGTTTTTGGACCAAAGAATAAGAATTTGATTCTAAAGCTTTTTTTTTTTTTCTGAACAGCTTGTAATAAGAGCTGTTTATATATTAATTACTTATTGAATTATTATGGATTTTAGTGTTTTAATTTTCAAGCAATTTGGAGCTGATTGTGGTGACAGCTGCTCATATTTTGACACTTTGCGGTGTTTAGCAGTTCCCTGGCGAGGCTGGTTTTCCCCTGCGGTAATTTGCAGCCCAGCCCTGCATGCAGACGCTCACATTCTATTTCAGGTTCCTACAGTGGGGGTTGCCTGGTCTGTCTCCGCTACAGAATGCTTGTCATGACGAAAGTTATTTTTATTTTATAAGCAAAATCAGTGTTCCCTTGTGCCTGCTTTCCTCTGGTGCCCTTTAGTTTTTATGCAGAGAGTTGGAGACAACTGTTGTGTAAATCTCTTTTTTCCCCCCAGGGGTAGATTTTTTTTAACTTTTTAAAAATGTATTGATTTTAGAGAGGCGGGGGACACACAGAAACCTCAATTTGTTGTTTTACTCATTCATGCATCCATTGGTTGATTGTTGTATATGCCCCGACCGGGGATCGAACCCGTAACCTGAGCGTATCGAGAAGATGCTCTAACCCACTGAGCTGCCTGGTTAGGACCTTATTTATTGAGTGCTTGAGTGTGTAGATGGTCATAGATGATTTCAACTTCAGGGGGGCTGGATTCACTCCCAACCAAAGACGTTTTAAAGGAAGAGGTCCACGTCGTTGAGTAAATGCTGGTTGACAGTGTAGCATGTGTATCGACTGTAAAGTCCAACCGAGCTTTGATAGGCAGGGCCATCCGGATGAGAGGTGAGCCTCCCTTCCTCCGAAATCAGGGCGCACGCGAGCCTTGTGCAGTGGACACCTGGGAGTCCAAGAGTGGAACGTTGAGCTGCGTGAGTGCCTTTCTTTTGCTGCCTTTTCGGGAAGCCAAAGGGGAACAGAGATTCGCATGTGGTTTCTGTGTTTTTCTGAGCCCGGTATCTACAAGCTGGTTATAGGCACACAAACATGCTGCTGCGACCGTTACTGTTACTGACACCGCCCCGAGTGATGTGGAACATTTCTCTAAAGCATGTTCTCTCGTTTCGAGGGGGTGTGTGTGTGGTTTAGATTATCGGTGGCATGTGGTACTGTTCTCCGCGATATTCCCGTGGGCATGAACACACCACTAAAGGGTAGCCATAGCCGAGCGACAAGCAATGGGATTTACTGTGAAACGTTTTGATTTGAGAATTGCTATGCGTACCGTGATGACTCACTGGCCATTTTCATTTCTCCTTTTTTCACTTTGCAAATAAAACTACCTGGTCTGTGTTAGAGTTTAACACAGTCATGATGGAGTTTGAGTTGGAATGAGAAAGAAAAACACTATCATCAATTTGAAGGAAAAAACAAAGGAATGGGAGAGGTGACTATGTCCCAAAGATTTTTAAGGGCTTCCTCTTTTTTTTTTTTTTAACACATCTCCCCATTTCTCAGCAGGCAGACGCTTTGCGGTTTCTATGCTCGGATGCTGGGGTGCCCGCTGGTCCGACGGTCTACACATGAAGTCCCCGTAAAGGTGAGCACCCACCTGCCACTGCATCTCTCTCTTCTTACCCCAAATCTGCCTGAGCCACAGAAGCGCGTTTTGCCAAAATTTGTTCAATACCTTCTGTTTGAAAATGGTTTTTTCAGGAGGATTTAAAAGAAAGCCGAAAAACTCATTGTAATTGGGCACATGCGTATAGATTTTATCTGGCTCCTCTTTCTTAATTTTATGCCTTATTGGTTTCTTAATACGATTTGTGTCTATCTTGATTTGCTAGTTAACCTTGAAACTGTTAGAAAAACACAGATTACTGCGTAGAGATCTAGTGAGATGATAAGGTTTCCAGAAGAGCGAACTAAGCGATCTTACCAGCCTGAGTTCATGACGTGAAGCCCACATCCCAGGTAGAGCTGATGTTCAGTCTCCAACCGCCAAAAAAAAAAAAGTTCCATAAACATTATTAACCTGTGGTGGATGGGATGGGAGGGTTTGATTTTACTATTTATTTTTGTATTCTCTGCTTCTTTAGATTTTTATTTTTAATTAAAAAAAGTCCCCACAGAAACCTTTGTGATTTTAGAAACATGAAGGTGGAAATTTGGGGAAGATATTTTTTTTTAGCTGTATTGTTTCAAAAGGCCCAATCAGAATGAAAAGGATGGACCTCAATTTTAACTCAAGTAAGAATCTCACTGAGGTATTTTTTTTGTTTAAAACTGAATATATAAAAATTTCCTTAACAAAAGCAAAAAGCTGTCTTAAACCTATGTAAGAATTTGCATACTTAACTATGTGAAAGGCGTAGTGTGCTAATAAAAACAGAAATGTAGGACGTGTGAAGTCGGCCTTGTGACTGGCTTTCTCGTAGGATCCCCTTTTCCCAGTTCATCCGTGCGGTAGCCGGAGTCGTTTTTGCGGCCAGATCCTGCTCCGTTCCGTGCGTGCACGCTGTTCTGTGTCTCCGTCACGGACGGACATCGCGGTGCAGCCACCGCCGGGCGCCGTGAATCCTGCGGCGGTGACCGGGCGAGCCGCGCCTCGTGCGCCCCTGCGCCTTCCGTTCTCCTGCACCTGTGCGTGCGGGCAGCGGCCCTGCGGGGCCCTAAGGAACCGCTGTGGGTCACGCCGGGGCGGGGGACCCATCTGCCGGTCCGGAGCAGCGGCACCCTCAGCGAGGATCGGTCAACATGCCCTCGAACCCGTTCTCGGCGTCAGAGGAGGAAGGGACGGGTCTCTTGTCGGTCATCGGCGTCCTGACGGGGCGTGAAGCCAGGCCTCCGGGAACGCGAGCCTCAGATGAGCAGGGCCCGTCCTGGGGTCCTCCTGCGCGTGAGGCACCGGCGGCTCACTTGGTGGACGACGCCGGGTTTGATGAGAGCCCTTGATAGGTCACGGTGCAGCTCATGCAGGCAGAGGACCCTTGGGGCCACGCTGGGGAATGGGACCCTGCCGCGCACCGGCAGCCGCGCATGTGGCAGCCGACGCTTTGTGGGCCCGCCCGTCTCTGTCGCGACTTTCGGCCGCGTGCCTGTAACGTGGAAGCAGCCGCCCACCGCACCGAAGGGCACGACCGTGGCGGAGGGCCCATAAACCTTTGTTTGTGCCCCTGGAATGGGACAGCCAGGGCCATGGCATGGGTTGGTTTTCTCTCCAAGCATTTAACACCATGAGCGCCATTCAGAGCGCACAGCTGGCCCCGCCCACGAAAGCCGCAGGTGGGAACTGGCCTGTGCACCCCGACCTAGGGGAGCACCCCGACCTAGAGGTGTGCCCTGTTTTTTTCCCACCTCTTCTCACCGCATCCTTGGGAGTCGGGCCCCGGAGGCTGAGACGAGGCCCGTGTGCCATCAAGCCAGAGTCAGAGTCCAAGGTGCAGTTCCCAGCAAAGGCTGCGCCGACGGTGCTGCAGAGGCTCAGGACCCTGGCGGGGGGCGGGGGAGGGGGAGGCTGCGCCCAAGCGTGACGGCCAGAGGCCCTTTCTGCATCCCTTCCCCTGGGACACACGAGGCCAGTGCACAGTCATTGCTTGGGGCTGCTCCTGGCACCCCGTGAGGAGAGGCGCGGGCGCTGCCAGACGTCCCCTGGTGCCCAGGAGGACCCCCAGCGAAGGCGTCCGTGGTCCCAGATGTCAGGAGTGCCCAGACTGACAGCCTGTTCAGTGCTGCTCTCGGCATTTTAAGTCCTGTCAGTCTTGTGGCTGCGGGCCTGCCAGCGGCTGAGCATTGCTTACAAAACGGATTCCTACGTTCGCTGACATAAATACGGGGGTCCTTGGAGCCCTGTCAGATACGGGCTCACAGTGCTTTACGTGTTCTCCTTTTTAAAACCTTTTGTGTGTTCCTTTTAGTTGAAGATCAAAAGCTGTTGTAACAGCCCTGGCCAGTGTGGCTCAGAGGCTTGAGGGTCATCCTGCAAAGCAAAAGGTCGCGGGTTAGATTCCTGGTGGAGCACACGCCTGGGTTGTGGGTTCGGTCCCTGATGGGGGCGTGTGCGAGAGGCAGCCAAGCGGTTGTTACGTCGTCGATGTTTCCCTCCCTCTCCTTCTCGCTCCCTCCCTCCTCTTCTATCTGCAGAGGAAGCTACAGGGTTTATTTCCAGAAGTGCCCAGGCCACAAGAGATGGAATAACGACTTTGCTTATGGCCGCACCTAGCGAAAGAGAGGCAGCAGGCCAGAATCAACCCCCACGGGCGGACGAAAATCAGTGTCTTCGAGGTTTCGTGCCACCCTGTGTGTGCGCGCCTTCCTGAGATCCAGGTGGGGCTGCTGCCCACGGTGGACACCCTCTCTCCAGCCTCTCGGTCATAAAGATAACTACAGGCCGTAAGATAATTTACAGGTTAATCGGAAGCATCAGCTTCACGGCCGAGTCCTTAGAGAAGCAGGGCGGACGACTCCCGCGCGGGAGCGGCCTGCTCGGAAGCCTGGCGCGCGAGCTTGCGCCTCACTGTGCAGGCAGGGCGCGGGCGCAGAAGGGGGACCGTGCTGCTCCGCCTGTGCACATCGCCCGCCTCGGGCGACGCGGGCTGGCTGAGCCGTGGTTTGCTGTTCCTGGGCTGAGCGTGTTGAGGAAGGCTTCCTTCTGGGGGGCGCCCAGGGGGTTTTGGATGTGACTCCAGGGTGGACGTCTCTTCTGTCACGTCAGGCTCGTTGAGTGATGTGCAGGCGAACTGCGGAGGAAGGCCCTGGCCCGCTGTTAACACGGAAGGGCCGCCAGGCGCCGAAGGGACCCTTTCCGAACGCCTCGCCCTGGGGGTTCTTTGACTCCTGGAAGAGCGGCTTTATTTTTCTAACCCAAGACCCCTCCTCTCTGCTCCCCCAACCCTGTGGCCTCGTTTCCTACTTGGGAGTGCGGAATCGCTCCCATACTGATGAATTCTGAAGAGGGTGCCAGGGTTTAATTATATCTTAATGAGAGTGACAACAGTTCAAGTTTCACAGGAGAAAATTTGCAAAATACGGAAAAGGGCCCCCATATACAGATATAATCCCACCCCAAAGAGAGCATGTTTGGCAGAGCGTCTTCTGGGTGTGGGTGCCTGTGGTGTGTACACAGCCAAAATTTAGCAGCACGCACGTTCCATCTTCAAACCAGGGCTTTCTCCATGGGAATGCATCTTGGACATTTTCCCCGATCATGACATACTCTTTGATGGGTGTTCTCTGGTTCTGCTGGCTTCTCCTCGGCTTTGAGTGGGGCTGCTGCTAGGACTCGGGGCGTAACAGAGTCGTTCTTTGGTTATAGTAATAATACAATTGTAGGATGAGTGGGAAATGTCCTCTTAGGGGGACTTTTTTTGTCATTGTAAAATAATATACATGTGCTCGTTGATAAATGAAGATGAGAGGGAAAGAAAACAACCAAGACGAACCATTGTTAATGCTTTCATATATTTCCTCTGCGATCTTTTCAATGTGTATATTTTTCTATAACTGGGGCCAGTCTATGAACGCCACAGTTTATTCGACCGCACTGTTGTTGGGCAACAAGACGCTTCAACAGCTCCGTATTGGCTCAGAGATACGCAAAGTGCTAAAGCAAGCCTGTCGCTTCCAAAATAAACTGGCCCCCAAGCCGATTTTAAAAAGGATTCTATGTAAATAAACGTGTACATTGGAAATGCCATCTTACACTCGCCGATGACGGTGAAATAAAAGTAACCTCAGTTCACGCGTGAAGAGGGGAAGCGTCGTGGAGCGGGCGGGCGGGGCTGGGGCCCAGGGCCTGGAGGGCCGCAGGGTTTGTCCGAGCCCGGAAGCGTCGCGGGGGGCCGAGTGCCTTTTTGCAGGAGGCCTTCTCGAGCAGGCTTTGCGTCTGCTCTGCAGTGGGTGTTCGTCGTGCCTGGAAACGGGTCCCCAAAACCTGAGCCTGCGCCAGAAGATTCACCGAAGCAGCGTAACCGCCAGCAGGCCCGTAGGAGCAAGGAGCGAGACCCGCCTTCGTGCGTCCCCGCAGAAGCGGGGCTGCTTTCAGAGATGGCCCTAGAGCGTTTCACCGAGGAGCGCACCGTTGAAAGAGAAACTTTCCCCAGAAGGACAGCGCAGCGGCACGGCATCGCCACCGCGTTCATCAGCGTGTGCTTAGCTCAGTGTTTTCCTACCAGGCTCCCTGCTATTGGCAAGAAACTCACGCCTTGCGTAGCATCACCTGCCAGCTCTGAGGTTCTCCCTGCGGTTCCATCTTTAAGATAATTAAAGAGCACGTAGGATTTAGTAACTTGGCGGCAGCCGCTCCCCTCCCAGAGAGTAACCCCGTGTTAGATACCCCGCGTGCTGCATCAAATGAACCCCTCAGACAACGCTTTTCTTGCGACAAAGCATTGAACTGTTTTGGGAAGGGGACCGTGATTCGTGGGCGGCGCTGCCGTCTTGACGTTAAATCATAAAAAGAAACGGTATCAATCATTCTGTCCTCCGTTGCTTGACGGGCTTTAACCCCAAGTTGTTATTTGCATCGGAATCCTTGATTTTGGAGGGGAACTCCAGCACCACCGTCAGCCCACACTGATTTTTAAACTCTGTTTTAAGCAATGTGGTGGCGACATGGTGGCTGTAAGTCGCAGTGGAAGGATGTTTTTGTTTCCTTTTCTGTTTCCCCCTTCATCTCGGCTCCAGACTCCTCGCATCAGCCTCGTGAAGGCGTCTCGAATCAAAATCGGGTCAGGCAAGAAAATAAACAGGGGTCACTCATTAAGCCCCATGTTGTTTGGTTCTTGTTTTTTGTTTTGTTTTTTCCTTCTGCCCGAGGCCAGGGAGTTCCTACTGTTGCTGCAAAAGCTCCGTTTTGCTCCAGAGCAGGGCAGCTGGACAGTGTCCCCTGGACCTGCAAGCGCACGGCGTCCCAGAACCCAGTGAGACGCTGGGCCAAGAACAGTGTCCCCAGGGGTCCCTCAGAGAACATGCGCGCCCACACGCAGCCTCTGGGGGTCGTGCTGTCTTACAGGCTCTGTGGGAGCGGCGTGCGTGGTTAAAGCGCCAGCGACCTCTGAGGACACCCCCTCGGGTGAATTTGGGCGAGGGTCGTGTGTCTGCCAACCCCTGAGGCGCCCCTCCCAGGCCCCTCTTTGGGGACGTGCGCAGTGGCTGAATCCAATAATCACTGGGTCGTCCTGGACCGCGGGTGTGCCTGGGCCCGGCCTGAGGACGTGCACACGTGCAGTTAGCCCGCACGGCCTCGGCCGTGTCCCGGGGCCGCTGGTGTCCTGACTGTGCAGATGACAGGGCTGAGTCACGTAGCCTGCCGCGACCTGCAGGCAGACGGAGCTGCTGCAGACGTGCTTGGAGGTTGGGCTGTGTGGTTCTGAGCGCTCAGCCCGTGCGCCGCCCTGCCTGCCCCCACCTTCCCCCCCCCGCCCCCCGCCGCCCCTGCCTGCTCAGCGCAGCTCTGCAGCAGCCAGCTCGGGCGTTTCAAGCGTCACATCATCCATCCACGGAAACTGTCCTTCGCAGGGAGACACAGGCCCGCTTCTCCCCCGCGTAAGAGACGGTGACAGCGTTCCCCTTGGACACTGAGCACAGAGAGCAGGCTTCCTGTCCCCGGTCCAGGGTCCATTGTTAGGGGCTCATTCCTGGTATTGCCATACACCGGGCTTTCAATGTAGCAGCTACTCGGTAATTTTTTTCTGGTATCTCTTCGCAGCTCATTTTCCTTAAGCACAGAAAAACTAGGACAGCCCTGGCCGGCGCGGCTCAGTGGGTTGGAGCATCGCCCTGTAGCCGAAAGGCTGAGGGTTCCATCCCTGGTCCGGGCATGTAGGGAAGGCAACCAATGGCGCGCTCTCCCGCCCTCCCTTCCTCTCCGACATCAGTGAACATAACCGGGGGTGGAGGGGGGAGCGGTTTAAAAAAAACAACAACAAAAATCCAGGAGAGGTTTAGGAGAGGAGAGCAAACCCCATAGGGACAGAAGGGACAGCGTAGAATGAGTGCCTGGGGTTGGGGGAGGGGTGGCGAGTGAGTGTTTAATGGGGACAGAGTTTCTGTGTGGGGTGAGGAGAACGTTCTGGAAATGATGGTGGTGATGGCTGCACAAAGCTATGCAGGCCCTTCATACCCCTGAGCGCAGCACTTAAACGTGCTTACGGTGGTCCGTGTTCCCTGTACACACATTATTACGACGACAATTCTCATTCAACGCTACGTTTTGCCGCTGGGAAAAGTGCCTGAAAGCACAGGACGTGGACCGTGAAGACGGGTCCCTGGCAGCCTGCAAGGGTCGCAGTTGGAGACATGACCGGAAGGCTTCGCGGCTGTGGCTGCGGGCGGGTCCTGGTTTTCGGTGCCCAGGAGCCCTGTCGGCATCAGCTCTCAGTCCTCTGGGCCGGTGCTTCCCGTGACCGCCGAGGTCGCTGGGAAGAAAACCTCCATCTTCGTGGCTGCCTCAGGCACAGGTGCTCGCACAACGCCTTCTGTCCCCTCACCCTCAAGTTCCCCCTGCCGTCCAGGCCCCGGAAGCCTCAGGCAGGATGATGCAGCGAGGTCTCTGGCAAAACAGAAAAAATGTAGGTTCTCTCGGCGCCCTTGTTGCGGCCTCCTGAGACCTGGCCGCCTCGTAGAATGAGGTCAACGTGATACTGGGTTGGCCAAAAAGTCCGTACGGTTCTTGCCATAAAATAAAAGGCACATTTTTCATTTTCACCAATAGCTTTATCGATTTAGATATTTTGAGTATGTCGGCTCACTGCTGTGTGGTGTAACATTGATGGTTCTCTGCTGATGTCTCAGTTCGATCACTATCAGCTTGAGCTGGTCTGCCTCACCTTGGAGCATCCTCAAGCGAGCAGTCTCCAGCACCGACCTTCACAAACCACTTTGCACGTGTTCAGTCAGTCACAGCACCTTCTCCGTACCCTGCACAAATCTTTTTTCTTGCGTTTCAGTTGCGTTTTTAACTTCCTTGAAAATAATAAAACGTCATATGCTGAAAACAGTGCATATTTTCTTCCCTCTTCAATATTAACACATTGCGTACCGCTCATGGGTTTGCTCTCGTGTTTCGCGCGCCATCTGTTAAGGACCGCTCACGAGTTTTCTCGTTTTTCACGAGCCATCTGTTATGGACTTTAGATGTCAACACTGTCTTGTCCACATCGAATGAAGGGATCTCATTGGTGGAAACCGTGCAGGTCAAGCTACAAAAAACTATATAATTGCACGAACCCATAAAGCATTGCAGTTACGTTGTATTTTGGTCATTCAACCCTGGCGTATGTCTTAGAGATTTCTATGCGGTACACAATGTATTAAAATGGCTCCCCCAAAACGCCCCCATTTTGATAAGTTTTTTTTAAATGCACACTGATTAGGACAGCCGTCCCAACACAATCTAACAAAATTGTTTCGAATGGCGTTCAAGACAACTAAGCGCTACTAGAACCATCATGTAGGGAACAAAACTAAAATTTTGGAAATTTTTGGCCAACCCGATACCGAGAGACTTAGCCTGTCGCTGATTGTGTCTCTCCTCAGTGCCGCGTGCCGCGCGCTGGGTGGGCTGACCGTGAGCTTATCGGTTAAACTTGTGAGCGAAAGGTGTCAAGTTCACACGACTGCTGGTCTCCTCGTTGCCCCCTTGCCGTGGGGACCGATGCTTAGAGTCTAAAGCAAGCGCTTCCGTCACGGGAAGCAGGATGCCATGCGTGGTCGTTCTCAAGTACATTGTCATCCTCACACGCACGTGATTTTTACTGAACAAACGTCGGCTCGTTTTCGTTTTCCGTCACCCCTGACTTTGTCCTTATTAGCATGATTTGTAACCCGACCCTGTGCTGGCCTTTATGAAACACACCCGCATTTCTTATTTGCGGAATCGCTTCACCAGGATGTGTGACGTAAATAATTACAAGGTTTTTTTTATGTAGCACACGATCACACACTATAACATGAATCCGACCTGCGTTCGCGTCATGGGCATAACATCACGGGTGGGTTTGGTTTTTTCCCCATCGTCTCCAAAAGAATGCAGCAGAGCGCAGTACGGACCGTGTCTGAAAACTCTCCGTTTTTTCCTCTCGCCTCTCCCACAGAGGGTGACCCCCGCTTCCTAAAGACCTCGTCGCCGCGCGGGGAGGCTAAGATGAGCATAACGAGTGACGAGGTGAACTTCCTGGTGTATCGGTACCTCCAGGAGTCAGGTAAGGGGCCGCGTGTCTGCCCGGCGGCAGCGCGCCCGCCGTCCACGCGCGGGGAAACCAGGCGCTCGGCAAGGCCTGGCGCGCTCGCGGGGACGGGGGCAGGTTTGGGACTGTGCCGTCCCTGGGGTGGCATGAAGGACGATGTTCTTTCTTCCGCGGGCGTCTCTGGTCGGAGGAGAGAGATGTTATGGGAACTGACACCCGAGCCCAACGTGGTGCTGGATGTCGACTTGGCCGCGGCCAGGGCTGAGCTCAGGCCCGGGCGCCCTGAGAGCCCGCGCGGGCTGGTGTGCCGATAGGGACCCCTTCGACGGAGACCTCCGATTTAGTCAGCGTCCACACCCCTCCTACAAAGGGGGGCCCTGTGCGTTTCTTTGAACACGTGATTATGACCCAGAATTTCCTTTCCGGTAAGTGAGATGCAGGCAAGGGGCCCGTTCCCTAGAGTCAGGGGTACCTGGTGTTTGGCAGGCGCCGTCTGTCCCCAGGGCCAAGGCGGGGGCTTCCCTGAGCCCTTCCCCTGGGAGCTGGCTTGGTCACAGAAGAGCAGGATTCCTCGCACCGGCCCCCGGATGTCGCTGAGCCGTGATGTCCCTGTTGCGCAATGTCAGCGCGGCCCCCGACCGCGGAGCCTTTCCATGTTCGCATCTTTTTCAATTAAGTTTATTAAGTTTTGGATTGATTCCTGAAGGGAATAGCCGTGCCACTTGTAAAACTTGGCAAGGTTTCCTTGGAGACATGCCGCATGGCATCCGCAGGCAGACGTCCTTGTCCCCACCCACCCACCTGCTGTAAGATGTCACCCATCTCCAGCGCAGGCGGGTCCCCGTGTCTGGCTCGGTGGCGCTGCCCCCTCTGTCCCCAGAGGGGTGCCCGCCTCCTGGGGTTGCGGGGTTTGATCGCCGTGAACCCACGAGGATGTTGTCCTGCGCGGCGCTCAGCACTGGTGCCTGTCTCCCCGGCGGCTGTCACGAAGAGGCCTGGACCGGGCCTCTGACAGAACTACCTTGTGTCACCGTTCTCGAGGACGGAAGTGTGAAGCCGAGGTGGTGCGGGCTTGGTTGGTCCTGAGGACTTTGAGGGGCCTGCTCCAGCCCCCTCGCTCCGCCTCGGTGGTCCCTTGGCTTATAGATGGGTCCCCCACCCCCACCCCCATCCTCCTTTGTCTCCACGTGACATTCGTCCTGTGTGGGGGGTGTCTCTGTCCCCATTTATCAGATTTCCCCTTCCTAAGGGAAGACAGTGGCGTCGGCTTCTCACCGTACTCCAGCGTGATCATGTTAACTAATTCTGTCTGTAGTGACAGTATTTTTAAATAAAGTCACATTGTGGGGGTGGGGGGCTGGGAAAAGGACTTCATCAACACGGACTTGAGGGCGGGGGAGCGGGGCGCAGTCCAGCCCATAGCGGCGGCTTCTGTGCACATTTAAGCTTTAGGTGCTTGGTATCGGATTGTGTAAGCCCTACAACTTGCTTTTTCGAGGAGGAAACCGATTTCCAGGTCCTGCTTCCCAAAGACGCACATGCTAGGATTGCGGGGGAGGGGGGCAGCGTTAACCCTGAGCCCGGGCTCTGTGTCCCCATGGTGGGGGCAGGCGGGGCGGAGGCTGCGGCATGGCAGCCAGACCAGGGGCTCCACCTCTGCGCCTTGAACGGGTCATTCTCTCCCTTGGAGCGTCGCTGTCTGGGCCGAAAATGGCTCTCCTGGGCCACGGGGCGAGATCCGTCAGGCACGTGGTACGTTGTAAGGCAGCACCTCTCCCCGTGCGAGCCTGGAGCTCTGTCACCCGGGTCCCCCATGGGCATCCTTCGTGGACAGCACACGACCTTTCTGCAGGTAGATCAGATCGTTCGGAGCAGCTGGTGCCAGAACATAGGGCAAGACGTTGATGCACAAAACCGGGCGGCAGGAAATGACACCCGCGGCTTCCCTGAGCCCTTCCCCTGGGAGCGGGCAGGAACGGCTCTCCAGGAACGCCGGTCCGAGAGCTCACGCCTGCCCCCGGTCTCTGCCGATAAGGACCCCACGCGCCAGGCCCGCTCCCCAGTCGGCCGCGGTTCCACCTGGTGCGTGAGACGCCTTCCTTTTAGGGACATCTCCGCACAGAGATGAGAGGAAGACACGTGTGAACAGATTGCTAGCGAGACTGTTGTTCCTGAGTTCGGGGACCTCGGGACAAATGAAGGGCGGGGGCGAGCAAGCGTGCAGGGTGCTGCGGGCCGGTCCCTCGGGGCGGGGCCCGGAGGGCTGCCAGCCCCTTTGAATTATCGGGAAACCGGAGTCCCTCTCCCAGACCTCCCAGGCTTCCTTATTTGGTGTTCGTTACCACTGGTCTGCATTTGTTGATAGTCTCTGTAACCTGGCAACGGAGCAGGGAGCGCAGAGAGACAGCCACGCATCGAATTTCCTCCAGGTCTCCACCGTGGGCCTAATTGCTCAGAGCACTGCGGGGTGTAAAATCCCACCTGCAAGAAGATAGTAAGGCACCACAGTGCACGGAGCACCTTCTTCTGCGTCTGTTCGTCTCTCTTGTCGGTTACGAAAAGAGAACTCGTCTCTCTCGATTGCGATTCCTGTTCCGTCGCCTGCGTTATCTCCTCCTTACCAATATCTCTTTAAAAATTGGTCCCACGTTCAAGAGGTGTGCGTTCCCGAGCGCTGCCAATCTGGGTCTGTCCAGCAGAGGGGGCCAGCAGGTTCTGTGGGGCCACGTCGCCTCTGTGTCCTTGCGCTGTGTGTAGGAAACAGTGGGGCTGCGGGGAGGGAGGCGGAGGACGCACGGCATCGGTCATCCTTTACCAGCTGCACTTCGCGCTAAGGATACGTGTGGCAAAAAGGAAAACAAGAAGAGTCCACAGCGGTTGGTTGGCCATGTTCCTGGGGAAGCGCCTTGGAGTTGTTTCCAGGCTTTGACGATTTCAACTTCAGGTGTCAGGAAGCCTTGCGTGCGGGGGTTGTGTGTGAACACACGTTTTTTTGGTTCCGGGTCAGTGTCTAGGAGCCAGGTTGCCAGGACGTGTGCCAGCGGCGTTTCGGGGTCTCAGAAGCCACCCCGTCCTTTTCCTTGTCACTGGACAGCAGGGCACCTTGTGCACATCATTGTTTTTCTAGAGTTTTGTAAAATTAAACGTGTTGGGTTACATGGGTTCATACAATTATATAGGTTCCAGGAGTACAGCTCTACCCCATGTCCTCCGTATACCGGGTTGGGTGTTCACCAGCCCAAGTCACGTCTTCCATCGCGATTTATCGCCCCAGACCCTCTCCTGCCGCCCCCGTGGGCACAGCGAGAGGCTGCGCGGAGTCCCGCCCTAGCCCAGGGCGCGTTGGAGGGTGCGTCACAGGACGCGAGCCCCCGGAAGCTGCACCTGCAGCTGCAGGATAGTGATGAACGTTTCCACCCCTGCTGGGTGTTGAACCTCAAGCAGGCTCCCCGTTTCTTCCGGCCGTGGCTGTCACCTGGATCTGCTGCGCGACAGGTCCCACAGGTGCACGGCTCCTTTCTCCCTCTGCATCCCCCTGCAGGAAGCTAGAAGGCTCTGCGGCCTGGCCGGCCCGCCGTGGAGAAGAGCAGGCTTGTGGGCAGGACCGCTGTCCTGTGCAGACAGACAGGAGGGCCGTCGCTGACGCTCTGAGCGTTCGCCCAGACCCCCCAGGTACCAAAGTCGGCACAGCCCGGGGGAAGCGTGTCCCCACCTCCCGCTCTGTGGCTGACATCCGCCCACCCCCAGCAACAGGCAGACGCTTCGTCCATGCCACACAGCCACCGCGGCACTGGCCGCATGATGGAAAAAAAAAAAAACAAGGGGGAAAAATCGATTTTCAGGAACGTTGTTTCCGGGGTGTGCACGTTAACGGTCCGCGAGTGCCCCACAGCTGCCTTGGGCGACAGGGTGGGTAAGAGGAGGAGCTGATCGGAACAGGGGGCGGTAAAAACGCATCCGTCACGTATCGCCGACGGCCAGGACGGGGAGCACCTTCCTTCCTCGTGAGGATTAAAGACCTTCGAGTGGGATTGAAAACTCCTCTTGGCTGGAATTTATTTCCTGGCTTGCATGAGTCATGGTTGCGAGGCCAATTTATTACCCACATGGGTTGCTTGCAGGAGCATCCCTCGATGATGCATGTCTTGAGGGCCGCGTCCGGGGGTTTCAGACCTGAAAGTCGGCCCCCGGCAGTGGGGCTGTTTTTCTGAACATGAGTCACTCCGTGGAATTAGGCAGGTTTCCTTTCATTTACAGAATGTGGACATAGTTACAGCTCTGTGTTCTATATCATCCTGCAAACAAGGAGGAGTGGGGAATATCACGTACCCAGACCTTCAAGATCGAAAACGGAGCTTCGGGGACGTTGCGCGTGCGTTTCGAGGCGCCTGTGTGACAGGGAAAACCAGAGACTGGCGCGCCGGGTGGCTCGCCGGGTGGCGCGCTGGCGCCCTGTGCTGCGCCTGTGAGTGTCGCGTGCGGTGGGGCGATAGAATGAGAGAGTGTCCGCAGCCAAGCCCAAGTGCCGAGCTCCAGGGCTGTTCTGTATTCTCAGCTCACCGAGCTTCCCCTTTCCAGAAAGATGGGCCAGCAGTTCCAAAGTCCCACCTGGCACCTTAGCCGCCGCTGGGACCAGGTGGGAAGGACGCCTGTTTTGACTGAAAACAGCCAGGCTGCAGTGGGTGAACTAGCGACGTCCCTGTGAGACTCGGGACAGGCCTGCGGGGTTGGCGCGTGTTTTCTAAGCAGCTACAGACAGGGCCAAACTTTTTTTTATTTTTCCCCTCCCCCTCAAATCAGCCAAGAAGAGTTCCTGGGCATTTCTTTATTTTGCGTTTTTAGACTCTTCTGTCATTTTAATTCCCCTAAAAATAGAAGCAGAGCCAGGGACATTTCTCTCTCGGCTGCCGAAGGCGCGAAGGTGAGCCAGCAGAAAGCTGACCGCTGTTTCCTGCTAAGTGGCGTTTTAATGGCCTTGTTTCTTTACCCTTTGTCTTCTGATTCCTTCTGCTGCA